TCCATACGAGAGTACAGCCTTGAAGAGCTGAACACCCCCAAACGGGAAGATCATGCAGGCTGTAATATTTGTCTGATAACATTAGACTGTGGGATCTCGCTAGCTGTGACAAAAATTAGGCAGGATCTCGCTAGCTGTGACAAAATTCCAGCAAACCGGATTACCGTGAACTTGCCGGACTCCTTGTCGCATCTTCTTTCAGAATTGCCAGACTTAACAGAACTCCCGTATTATGAATCAAAAACGGATGCCGGAGTTAAGTTACAACGGGAAGTAAAAGCGAAACTGATAGGCAGCCCTCACCTGACAAAAACAGACCAGCTAAATGACATCGCAAAGCCGATCGCCCATCACATGAGATTGCTGAAACCCACCCTAGTGGATAAAATGGAACAGTATGTGCCACTAAAAATCTCTCTGACGTTCACACTGACAGTTTTCATTGGAAACCTGCTTTTAGACGCGTTAGCCATATACCTCTACCACCGGGTTGCCATATTCAGAAGATTGACTCCGAAGTTTCTGAAAGGGCAGGATGGAACCATCGCACTTCGACCGGTGCTCTCAGTAGCAGCATCTGACAGGAAGGCCTTCCAAAAGGGGGGGTCCAAGCTTAGTGAGAAATACATGGTACTAACACAAGCAGAACTGAATGCCTATCAAACGCCAACCAACCGATCAAGACTAACCTCAGCCTGCTCCTCAATGGGGAACATCAGCAGAACACAAGAATCACAGGTTGTCTTGAACGAAACGAGCTTTAACGAAAAAGGAAGAGAGGAGAGCTTAAGCCAAATTTGACCAGTTACTGGCATTCATTGAACTCACATTCATAAATCACCCATAAGACTGACTACGTGGCCAAAATAACTTTGAAATCGGATTGTCTCATCTCTCATCAGAGACTTAAATTGTCTTGTTTAAACCTAAATCCTTTTCACCATGTATATATTCTGAACAGTTAGGGGCATGCATTTGCGTATATCTGATTCCTACTATAACTGTGTTCAACATGTTGAATGTACTTACATTTAGTTCAGAGATTAATAATAATTTGTGTAAATCAATGACCTATAACTATAGCATTTATATTGAAAAGTACAAATCAATTGCACCTCTATGCAATTTACGAATCTAATTAATGCAGTGCTATATTACACCCGGTGCTTGCTAACTCAGGTTCTCCCTTGGTTATTAGCCGCCAAGGAACAATCAACAGGTGTGTAAGTGTCACATAGTGCTTCACGCCTATGTTAGTTACTCATTATTAATTACCATAAATGGTGCGAATTAGACTTAAATATCAATGCCATTATATGTCAATGACAAAGTATTAAACCCATATTTACTGAATGCAAACAATCAATTAGTATGTAATTGAATCATTAATAAACTTATAAACTTATTAAATAGGTCATATGTTTCTACGAGGTAGCCGGGGTTGCCTCATATTTCAATGATCCACATTATTGGTGCAAGTTCTCTATATCACGCCCTTCACCCGAAGAACAGTGACGATCAGGAACTCATCCAACTAGCTGACCAATTGCGAAAATACGGACTAGCTGACCTCTTAAGAACTGGACTTCATTGTCCCGGTCTTTTCTCCCCAATTTAAGAACTGGACTTTGTTGTCCCGGTCTTATATCCCCTGACTAAGAACTGGACTTTGTTGTCCAGGTCTTAGACTCTATCTCTATCTCTATTACTACTTCGATCTAGTATTTGTTCTATAAGTATATCACATCATCTCCAGAAAACACCCTTAAAACCTACAAGCGAACATTAATCAAAATGCGAGAAAACTTCAACAGCTGTAACAGAAAACACAAAATGGGACCTAAGTTCTCATGTTATACAGTTCGACAGAATACTTGCATTCCTCCAAATTGACGACCGAAAATTATCCAAGGCAACTCGGATTGGAAAATTCAATCCCGATAAGGGGCTTCGTACCCTGCTGTTCAACACCGAGAGAAGCATAAAAAAATTTGATCCTAAAATCGACTTCCAAACTAAAAGACTTCTCGGAACTTCGGGTCTTCATCAGTCACGAGTTATCCAAGGCGGATGCCGAAAAGGAAAAAAAATTGTCTCAAGAAAAGGAGGGAACTGATAGTAAAAAATCACCACCCGAGCAAGATAAAAATCAGAAATCTTAAACTAGAATTGAAAGAAAACAAAAAATGGATTGTTTATGAAGAAAGAAAAACTTCCCAGGAAACCGATAACAATGCAGACCAAGCTGGTGATGTTGCCATTACCGGATGACTAAGACCGATGAAAATGTTGACGTTCAACACCAGAAGTATCCTGGATATAAACAGGAGAATGAAATTGTCATACGCAATAGTAAACTCAGAATACGATATTATCTGTCTCTGTGAAACCTGGCTCACAAAAGACGTAACAACTGCCTCGCTCTTCCTAGAGAACTATCAAGTATATCGCAATGACCGACAAACATCAGATAACCAAAAAACAAAGCACGGTGGTGTACTCATTGCCATCAAAAATGAAATCTCACATGACTTACATTCCATTGAGAGTCTCAAGTCTGATTATCTCATCATAGAAATACATTCCAATAAAAGATCAATTATCTTAAGCTGTGTTTATAATGCACCCACTCCTAGCATCTACCAATGGTCCACTGAAAGTTTCTTAACTTTGATGAATGAAATGGCAAATCTCAAACTAGCCAACAAAAATGACCTCTGTGACTTAATACTCACCGGTGACATCAACTTCTCACAAACACACTGGGAAGCACTCTCCTCATCTGACATAGACGAGAGTCAACTACTGGACAAATTAGTTGAACTAAATCTTTCACAACATGCACCAACTCAACTAGACGTGCTGCTTTGCGACAATCCAGAATTAATTTCACAATGTCAAATCGACAGGAATATTCGAGATAAACTAACTAGTCAGTTCTCTGACCACAAACCACTCTACACCACAATTGCCGCCTTTAGCTGCATGAACCTTTCAAAAATAACAAATCATCGATATGCTTTCAAACGAGCAGACTGGGACAGCTTAAATTCTTCAAAAGAAACTGAACCGTTTATCCCGTACTGCTACAGTAACGTGAACGAAATTATCCGACAATGGTACGAATGGCTGTGGGAAAAAATCGAAAAGTTTGTACCTAGAATAACTGAGCATCGATCAAGGTTACAACCCTGGATCACGCCAGCCACCTCCCACCTCATCGAAAAAATTCAAACAAGGAAAAGAAAACCAAAACAAGGTCTCGAAAGACTATTAAAGATCAAAAAAATTGAAAAAGATATTCAAAGGTTTTCCGAAGATGACCTAGCGGAATATGAAAAAACCTTCCTAAAAGGAAGAACTTTCAGCAAAATTCAAAAATACCTTAAATGCATACGCAAGACCCCAACAATTCCTTCGACGGTCAAAGACGGAAACACTGAATCATCAAATGAAAGAGAAAAATGTGAATTATTCAATGACTATTTCGTCAGCGTGTTTGGCACAAAAGAACATCAAACCGGTATCCTCTTTCCAAAAAGTGAGCTGAATAGATTTATTGTTGACCAAAGTCAAGTTAGCGAAATAATGAGGCAACTTAATGTGAATAAATCAATGGGACACGACAACATTGGCAATCTCATTTTGAAATCATGTCACAAAACTCTAAGCAAATCACTTACCCTTATATTTCAAACCTGCCTTAACAAAGGAATTTTTCCTGAAATATGGAAAATTAGTGAAGTAACCCCAGTTTTCAAGGAAGGAAGTAAAACCGATGTCAGTTGCTGTAGACCAATCAGCCTACTCTGCTGCTGCTCAAAATTGCTTGAAAAAATAATATTTGACAAACTCTATACTAAACTGAAATACAGATTACATAAAAGTCAACATGAATTTCGAAAGCGTAGATCTGTCAGAATTCAACTTCTTCTATTTCTTGACCGAATATACGAATTGAATGATCAACAGGATGTACAAGAACTTGCAGTTCTATACTTGGATTTTGCCAAGGCATTCGACACTGTACCTCATGATATTCTGCTTACGAAGATCAAAATTTTTGGAATTGGCGGGAAATTGCTGTCACTGATATATTCATACCTCAACAACAGAAAGCAATGCGTTATGATTGAAGACTATAGCTCAACCCTAAAAGAAGTCACCAGTGGAGTTCCGCAAGGTTCAATTCTGGGACCGCTGCTGTTCTTACTTTTCATAAACGATCTACCTGAAACCATGAATGACACAGACAGTTTTGGGTACGCAGATGACTTTAAGGTCATTCTACTAAATCAAACTTCCCTTGACACTGCAACTCTGAAAATAGAGAAATGGCTACATGAAAACAAAATGCAACCCAACATCAAAAAATCAACGCTCCTCGGCATCAAAGGTGATTTAAAAGCTAGTCTCCTGAACAAAAATCTTTCCTCAGTAAACTCACAGCGTGACCTAGGACTGATTGTGTCCAACAAGCTCACATGGAACGAAAATTGCTCTCGTCGGACATCCAAAGCAATTAGTGCTCTCTTCCAGATTAAACGAAGTCTGACTATGAAAAGCAGTGTGAACACCAGGCTTAACGCATATACTGGGTATGTAGTACCCATAGTAACATACGCATCCCAAGCATGGACTCCTAGCAGATCGAAAATGGAACAACTCGAACGAGTTCAAAAGTTAGCAACAAAATGGATTTTTGGAACAAGCAAAACTTATACTGTGTAACATTCGCCCGGAAGATACATATCGACGGAAAATAAAACTAAGTCCTAAGACGACTGGCCAACGTCTAAACAGAGTTTTACATGCTTTTCATCGTCTCTACCAAGCCAGTACGTTCGGTGGTCTTTCTAACATCGGGTCGACAAAAACGTTACTGCTTTCGGCTTTGGTCAAAACACTCAAATTAACTTAATTACATGCATAAATAGTCAGCTCATGGCTGGGTCTCAGTATCCCCAGACCACGAGGTCACTCCTAAAAACAGGGCTACTACTTATTAAATTACTATTGTTTTTGTTCAGTAGATAAAAATCATCATCTCCATCGAAGATGGATCAACCCTTTCCCCCAACTCCTAGCTTCTCATCCTTATCAAAATGAATCTAGTTGTTAATTAAATTCAAATCAGGACATGACAAGACGCTAAAAGTCTATATAAAAGAATAAAAGTCTCAGTTCCGAAACCCTTCCGGATTCTTGAATCCACTGAATCAAGCTCGTTAATCTTGATTTCTTCTTAATCCGGAAGGCTGTCCTCCACCCTTCACCGTTTTCCGCAACGGCCTTGCAACTATTGTAGCGACACAATAGTTGCAACTCGGAACCTTCTCTGCTATTCCTGCAATCTGCTGTTGTTTTTTTGGATCACTTTTTGTACTTATCGTCCGCGCAACTAATGTTGTTCTGTTTTTCTTAGTTCTTTTTGCTAAAATGGCCGTTTCTGACGTTTCTCAGAAATGTTACGTAATCATTTCGAAAATTTAAAAATTAGCAATTCCCGAATCCTTTAACATTCAAATAACGTTCTTAATTCTTAATAATCACCGATCCGGAAGGCTCGCTGCTAAAAATTCGAATTCTGCAGAGATTGAATTTCGGCCATTCTGGTCGAATTCACATGCTCCCCGGACAGTCCGGTCAATGTCCTCATTGAATCACGCAATGTTCGTAAAATAGATACAGTGTCATCGAACAGAATTTACAAAATGCACGAAATTACCTTTATCCACGTCACATCGACTCACTACAGAACACAAATGGCATCATACTACATCACTATAGCCTTCAAATTCTTTCATTAATCTGCACCTTGAGGATATGACTTAAAATAAAACATATTTTCTGACTTTCAATGTCAATGTCCTGATTAAAACTTTTTCTCTTAGATTTAAAAGGTGCTGGCTTGCAGGACAGTCCTGCCAACCAACAAGCTAAAATTTTCCTACTATGCTTTTCCCTTCGGAAATCTTGCTTGTTATTGTCCTGAATACTAAAACTAAGAAACTCTGTGGTTAGCAAGAACAATGAAACAATCTCCCTCTTCGAGAGATTACTCAAGCCTTCCATGTCACCACGAAGTGATCAGTTCTCCTAGCTGATTAAAAACAGTCATGCAGGCTGGAATATTTAAATATACTCCTTCACTTGAGCCTTTCTAAATAAATAGTAAGTGAGTGTCTCTAAAGCCACTCGACTAAAATCAAAATGCAAATTTATAAATGCAACAATTTCAAAACTCAACTAAATGTTTCAGTTTTCAATTACAACTTGGTTGCTTGGTTTCTCACTTGAGTTTTTTTCACACACATAAAACAATTCTGAGTTTTAACTTTTTCTTCATTACTCCTTTGTTTTCTTCTTTTTCCGTCGTTTAGAAGTTCTAAAACTTCTAAATTTTTCTAATTTTCGTCTCTTTTCCATGCTCCATTTCTTCTTCCTGTGATACTGACTCTGCACTCTCAGTCTCCGTATCTTGTAACACGTCGTTAGCTATCCTGACGCTGCTGGAAGCCGTCCTCCAACACTTCTGCTCTTCTACCCTCTGTTTGCAGCAAGGTAGGGGATCCACGTTAGATTCTCTGTTCCTGCAAAAGCTGTTGTGGAGACACAACGTCACGTTTCTCTACAAATCTTCCTTTAACATCTCTGCCTTCTCCTTTCCACTACGTTCACTCGTCCTGGAAATTCTTTTCACAGCGATGGTCACTGCATTCCGATGAGTCACGAGAGTTCCCTTGAAAGCTCCTGCTCCAATGTCCAGCTGATATTCACTGTACACCCTGCCGTGCTTCGACATATGCTTTTTTGCATACTCGTACAACCATGCAGTCATGTTAGCTCTGAACCATGGCATCAATCGTTTTCTTGCCCATATCTTCTTCACTTCCATCGGAATGTTTAGAATTTTGCACATTGTCTCAAAAAGATCTAAATCTTTTAGACAATCTAACTTCCGCAACTGTTCTCTTGTCGGTGCCTCCTGTCTGTTATTTTCTCTCACATGAGCTTCCAGCCATCGTATTGCCATCATAACTCCCACTATCACTATTGTTACGGGCTGTGATGAATCTGGTAAACCCATGGAGAGCAGCTCTCCAGAGTCCCAGATCAACATCAAATTACTACGCTTGGGATACCACCAGGTCTGCAGCAAGCAGTGGCAAGGAAACTCGTCATGCGTCAACATGATGCTCCTCCAATTACGTTTTCCCGAAGCTTCCAGCAATGGTTCTACTTCCATCATCACTCGGTGGACTTCATCATTCTCATCTACTGCATTGTAATCTGTGACAGTTGATCCTCTCTGTTTCTGTCTCTCGAAGTCACTGAAGTTCCCGCTCACGTATCCCATGAACTTCTTTCCTAATATTGACTCCAATTCTTCTTTGGTTATCTCTGGAACCGCTGAGAACATCTTACATAGCAACTCGTATGACTTCTCGGACATTCTCGCCAGTCTCACACACTTCGGCACTGAGAAGGCTTGATCCACAATCGTTCTTGTACTCTTCACGTCCACAGCTACGAAATGCACAGGGTATCTGCTCTTGCACATTGGAGCCAATGTCGAACCCACCAAATATCGTGCTCCTGATGGTCTACAATAAGTCTCACTGTGTCTAATGTTCATTTCCGTCTCGATTGCTTCCCTCCATTTTCCTATGTTTTTCTGCTCAGTCTGCAGAACTCCTGGGAATACTTCTACACTGATGGCTGTGACCATCTCATGTTTCTGTTCTAGATTCAATAGTGACTCTAAAGAACCAAACATGCTGTAGAATCCTAGTGCAGTCACTAGATTCACATCGGTTCCTCCATGGCAATCTGCTATCAGTTCCGTTTCTGTTCTTGCTTTCATCACTACGTTTCCAAACATTACTGTCAATTGCTTGTGTTGTTTTTCCAGGGTCTTCACACAGTCCAGACCTCCACAAACGTGACCCTCCAGTCCACAGACTTCCGCCAGACAGCTACCAGGTTTGACCCAGTCTTCTGGTCCCCAGCCAGGCAACTCCACTTTATCTTCTCCGTTGCTCTTAGAGGCCGTTATCATCACATTATATATGATGTTGAGGTCACGCAGGTTACAGTCTGCGTTCAGTTCCCTCTGTACGTCTTGTGTCGCCCGTAATATTGAGTCAGCGTTGGGACTAGGACACCATGATGGCCTCATCAATTCCCACACTGCCATCAAGCTCGTTCTCAGTAATTCATCTGAGAATCCCAACCCAAACTCCACTCTTTTGTCGGATTTTGGTACTGAAGGTGCAGTCACCTCTTCTTCCAAGACCACTTTGATTTCTTCGCAGCCGAAGGGTGCTAGGAAATTTCTCGTCTGCAATATTCCTCCCACTTTCATCTCCTTTTTCACACTGGTCAGGATTAATGAGGCTTCAGGCAATTCGGTCCTGCCTCTCATCCTCATCGGAGCTAAGCCTAATCCCTTCCATTCCTCATCAAATCTTCCAGGCTTGGGAGTCGCGGCGTTGCTTATTCGCCTTCTTGTCGCTTGATCTGTGTATGCAAATCGTGTGTACTGTAACACGGCGGCATTTCTCCCTACAAAGTATGGATCCATCGTTCCCACGAAATTCCTTACCCTCCTTTCATTGGCTTCGAAAGCTCCCACTCTAGGAGTCTGTACCACGGAGACTGCTCCGAGCAACATCCTTCTTATCAGAAGGAATTCAGGGATTGCCTCCGGCAGCTTCTTGTAATCGCCCCAGTCCTTCGTCTCTTCTCTCACTTTGCGATATGCTGCAGTGAGACGAGGCACTCTGGTTATTTCACCATTCGTTCTATCATAGGGTCTCAGATTCCAAAGCTTTGGAAACACTTCGATGTGTCGTCTTTCTACTTCTCCCATGCGATCGCAGAAGTGATCGTCAAAATTGATGACTGTCATCTCTGGCTCCGATTTTTTCGCAAATAACAGATATTCACTCATGAGCTCCCGCAATGTGTGCGGCTCACACCGGTTCAGTGTACTACCGTCCACTGCCGATATGAGGTTCAGGTGCAGCACCGACCTCCTATATGCTTCCACCTTAACGTCAGGGAACGCAAACGTGACTGCTGGTCCATAGATCACTGTCACGAACTCCGTGACTCCTCTGATCAACGCCAAGGGATCGGTTCTCATAGCCAAGCTCAGATCGGTTAACAGCGGCATGCCTCCAACATGTCGTCTAACATCTTCCTCTCTTTCAATCGTCTCGTCTTCTCCCGTTCCAAAGCGATTTTGTTGTAAGAGATACTGGATAAGAGTGTGTCTCAGGTCTCTTATCTTGTTCCACGAGTCCGTGGATTTCTTCATATCCAAGTTCCTCACTCTCTCTCTCATCTGCTCTGGACAACGTGCCAGTTTCATCAGTCCTCCCAAGTTTCCGTGGGTAATTGCAATCAATGCCCGTCTAGCCGCATGTTCTGGATTCCATCGGTTAGCAGTATCGCCGGTCCTTTCACAAAACTTTCTGCTCCGAATGTCACGAACAAGGCTATTAGTTCCACTATCGATACTTCCACTACTGCTTGGAGGAATTCTTTTATCAAGTAGTGCGAGACTTTCGGGTAAACTTTTGGCAAGAAGGACGCGGTCCATCCGGCTCCCAACCCTTCCAGCATGCTGTCTGTCCTTTCAAAGCCCTCCTGTCCCTTCACTTTCCGGGTCCAGAAGGTTTCCAGAGTAATCTGACACATTCTGTTCACAAATTCAGCGGTCTTTTCTCCAGCATTTTCCGCCAGGTTCACCTCCTTCAACAAGTAGGTATGTATCTTTGTGATCATCACGGGGCCTTGCTCAAAAGCACCTGCACCCAATGCCGCTACTCTAGGGTTCAGGTGTAGCCACTGGTTGGCTTCCGGCTTGGTTCTCAGAACCATTGCCTCCAAGTGAGCTCTCGTCTCTAGTGAAATTTTCCTTCTTGTGTCTTCACCTGCCACTTCCATTGCTCGGTACCATAAGTCGTTGGACATTGCCGCGATCACTCGATGGTCGTCGTC